TTTAAATCAGATTTTTTTTTTATTTTTATCAAATTTATTTTAATAAAATTCTTTTGGAGTAAAATCTATCTAGTTTTCTATTTAAAATACGTTAATTTAATTTATTCGGCATGAAATGGAGGTTAGTTATGTAGTATGAAGCTGTATATTCTGCAATATTGGGGACTGTCGGTGAGTCAACAGCAGGTTAGCCACTGCGGGCAGGGATGACAGTTGCTCTTTAAAAATTATGATTTAAATCGAGTTGATTTAAGGAGCCTTGGTGGCGCAGCGGACTAAAGTGCTGTTAAAGTAGCACTTAGCTGCCAGCTGCCTGCAATTACTGCGAGTTCAAATCTCACCAGGCTCAAGGTTAAATAGCCTTCATACTTTTGTATATTTATACAAAATCAGCTTATTGCCCCCACAAACTGGATCCTCATTTAACCTACCTTAGAAAGGATGGAAGGCTGAGTCAACCTTGAGCCTGGTGAGATTCGAACTTACAGTAATTGCAGACAGCTGGTGTTAATCACAATGCTTTTAATCTGCTGAGCTACCAGGCCCGTTGATATTATCCTAAGGAACTGCAAGAAGTCCAAATCCGAGACCAAAGTCCATTCCTACCGGGCAGAGAACTCTTATAATAAAAAGATTCCAATCGCTGGCAGCACGTGAAAAGGAGGAAGACGGAACACGCTGTCTTACTTTTGAGCTCTGTTGAGTGTCAATTATTAAACCCGATGCCGTAATTAACCATCCGAGCTGCCAATTCTGCTTTAACAATCAAGTCATTCATTCTGTCAAGTCCCAGAAACCTGGAGAAAGTTTCACAACAACAGCAGGTGTGTTAAGGCAGACGGTTACTTGCCAAGGAGGAGAAACGATACTGGAACAATCAATCAACCAACTAACCAACCCACCCAAAATAAACCTGGATCCATTCTTTTTTCTCCCTACAGAATAACAAGAGTTGAAAGGGAACTTGGAGGTCTTCTAGTCCAACCCCCTGCTCGAGCGCTGCTGTCTGGGGGATTCTGGGAGTTGAAGTCCACCCATCTTCAAGCCGCCAAGGTTGAGAAACACTGCTCTATACCAGTGGTCCCCAACCCCCGGTCCGCGGACCGGTGCCGGGCCGTGGAGTACCTGGCACCGGGCCGCGCAGCGGCCGGGGGACAGGAACGCTGCAGCGCAAAGGCTCCTGGGCCGTGGCCCCACCCCTGCGCGCGCTCAGCGGGCCGCGGCAATAAAAAGGTTGGGGACCACTGCTCTATACCATTCCAGACAAAGTGGCAGTCCAATTTATCGAAGTTTATATTAATTTACCCAGATAATTATAGAACATAGAATAATAAAGTTGGAAGGGATCTTAGATGTCTTCTAATCCAACCCCACCCCCCTCCGCTTAAGTAGGAGACCCTGTATCCCATTCCAGACAAGGGGGTCTCCAGTCTTGTTTTTAAAAACCTCCAACCACAATTTCTGGAGGCAAGATGTTCCACTGGTTAATTGTTCTGTTAGGAAATCTCTCCTTATTCTAGGTTAATTTCCGTCCATTGTTTCTCGTCTTGTCTTCTGGAGCTTTGGAGAATAGCTTGACTCCCTCTTAACAGAGTAGAACAGAATAACAGAGTTGGAAGGGATCTTGGAGGTCTTCTAGTCCAACCCCCTGCCTAAGCAGGAAACCCTACACCACTTCAGATAAACGGTTATCCAACCTCTTCCTAAAAACTTCCAGTGTTGAAGCATTCCCAACTTCTGGAGGCAAGTTGTTCCACTGGTTAATTGTTCTCACTGTCAGGAAATTTCTCCTTAGTTCTAAGTTGCTTCTCTCCTTGATCAGTTTCCACCCATTATTTCTTGTCTTTCCATCTGGTGCTTTGGAGAATAGCTTGACTCCCTCTTCTTTGGGGCAGCCCCTGAGATATTGGAACACTGCTATTGTTAGGATATGGTTTGAGCCTAAGAAGTTGTCCAGGCAATGTATGTGTTCTGTGACTTTAATATGAATATGTATTGTGTGACTTTAAAGTTTTACTGCTGATTCATTGTAATGCTGAGTCATGCTGTAATTAGATAATCACTGGTTGTAAACGTATTTAAGAAAAGTACTGTAAAGTATTCAGTTGATGGTAAGCTACCATTGTGTGTGGAGTTGCTATTATTGTGCTATCATCGTTGGATGGATCTGCTACCATCGTGGTTTGTGAACCAGAGTGAGTTTGTTATTCTAACCAACTACTGTTTGTGTGGTAAGAAGAGTTTTTGTATCACTGGACTGATTTAACTGGCAAAGACTTGGATTGATTTAAAGACTATGAGATTGTTTTTTCACTATAAACTAAACTTTTGATAAACCAGTTTGCACATCTCTTATTCATTGCTCTCAGCAACGTTTCTCTGTGCTCTACACTCTGCTGGTTGGTAACACAACAACAATATCATGTCTTAACAGCTATCATGTCTCCCCTAGTCCTTATTTTCATTAAACTAGACATACCCAGTTCCTGCAACCCTTCTTCCTATGTTTTAGCCTCCAGCTCCCTTATTATCTTTGTTGCACTTTTCTGCACTCTTTCCAGAGTCTCCACATCTTTTCTATAATATGGTGTGATCAAAACGGGATGCCGTATTCTAAGTGTGGTCTTACTAAGGCTTTTTACAGCGGTACGAATACTTCACGTGATCTTGGAAGTATTAGTACTGGAACAGAAGCTGCCTTCAGAAGTTGTGGGAGCTTCATCCCTGGAAGCTTTCAAGAAGAGACTGGGCTGCCATCTGTCAGAAATGGTGTAGGGTCTCCTGCTTTTGGGCGGGGGGTTTCCACTAGATGACCTACAAGATACCTTCCAACTCTGTTAATCTGAACCTAAGATGATCAAAGGACCGGAGGCTAAAACATACGATGAATGGTTGCAGGAACTGGGCACGGCTGGTCTAGTGAAGAGAAGGACCAGGGGAGACAGGATAGCAGTCTTCCAATATTTGAGGGGCTGCCACAGAGAGGAGGGGAGATCAAGCTATTGTCCAAAGCACCTGAAGCCCAGAAGAAGAATAATGGATGGAAACTGACCAAGGAGAGATTCAACCTGGAAATAAGAAGGAATTTTCTGACAGTGAGAGCAATTGATTAATGGAACAGAGAAGTTGCCTTCAGAAGTTGTGGGAGCTCCATCGCTGGAAGCCATCTGTCAGAAATGGTGCAGGATCTCCTGCTTGGGCGGGGGGTTGGACTAGATGACCTACAAGGTCCCTTCCAACTCTGTTAATCTCTCTGTGTGTGTGTGTGTGTTATTTGCTAGCCATTATCCAGAACTATGCCTCTTTTTAAAAAAGTAGCAGGCATCTGTAGCTTTCCCTTCCTCCAGGCGTTAATAATTCCTAAACGCTTTCTCATTACTCCCTCACCCTCCATTACCACTGTCAGAGGGTGGATTTACTTAAAATTACCACCTCCTCCCATTGTTTCTAAAAATGGCGCTTTCTGCATAATGCAGCGTGTGTCAACCTGATTATCAAGCAGGGGGAAAACCGCTCTGCAACCTTTCTCGTTTTCGAGATTTCTGGCCCGTTCTGTAGTTTCTTGAAGGTTCGAGAAAGAATAGGGGGAAAAGGTAAGGAGAAAAATCTCAAAAAAGCCAACCGTTCAGACGTACAGACTGTTAGCTTGTCATCCCAGTCTTAAAAGAGACCATTTCACGCCACTGCTGAGCGATTTGCTCTAAAGATGGTTCTCAACCTACAGCCATTGTTCGTTTAGTGACCAAAATGACAAGGCTACTGCAGAAAAAGGCCGATGACCAGTTTGCCCACTTAGGGCCCGTTGCAACATCCTGGGGGGAGGGGGGGGGGGTCAACGTGATCAAACTTCAGACACTTGGCAAACTGACTCATATTTATGATGGCTGCAACATTCACCCAGGGGTCATGGGATCAAAATTCGGACGCTTGGCAAACTGACTCATATTTATGATGGTTGCTGTGTCCCGGGGGGGGGGGGGGGGGTCACGCAAACCCCTTTTGCGACCTTCTGACAAGCAAAATGGATGGGCGAGCCCGATTCACCGAACCACCGTGTTCCTAATTTAACATCTGCAGAGATTCACTTAACAACGGTTATCGAGGCAGGTCGTAAAAGGGGGCAAAACTCACTGAACGACGGCCTTGTTTAGCAGTGGAAATTTCGGACTCCCTTTGCGGTCGTTAAGTAGGGCTTTACCTGCATTAACAAATGAACCTGGAATCGCAACTTACGTGAATTAAGAGCAGGGGTGGGCTTCAAAATTTTTAGCAAGGGGTTCTCTGCCTGGTTGCTGGGTGGGCGTGGCCATGGTGGGCGTGGCCTAGTCGGCCTCCTGCGCCATGGCGGGGGGGGGGGAGGACGTTTTTGCCCTCCCCAAGCTCCAGAGGCTTTTCTCGAGCCTCCGGGAGGGCGAAAACGTCCTCCCCAGGCTCCAGAGGCCCTCTGGAGGCCAGAAACGGGTCTATTTCCAGTCTTCCTGAACTTCCAGTAGGCCCGTTTTTCGGCCTCCCTGAGCCTCCTTGTGCGCCCTGCACTTACGTGCATCCAAAACAGACCACGTGGGGACTCTTGTGAGGGGAGGGGTGGGTAGGTGGGGCCAGCCAGGAGTGGGATTACGGGGGTTCTCCGAACTGCATAGAATCTTAGCTAGAGGTTCTCCCGAACCCCCAGCAGCCCACCTGATTAAGAGACGAGCTGAGGTTTAACCCGGGTTCAGATCACCTATGAGCTGGATGCTGTAGGGAAAAAAACCCCAATTCTAGCTAGTTTTTCCCTGCCACTTCCCAGCACAGTAATAAGGAAAAAGGAAATTATAAAGCAGAGAATGACAACAGATTTTGAAAGATTCTATCCTAGTTGCTTTTCCCATTGCTCTTCATTGCCAAGTTTTTTTTTTTCCCTTTATCGTCAGATTCAAGTTTAAACCTATCCGACACCGTTTCGACTTTAAGCCTCAAAAAAAAAAAAAAAATGTGCATTCTTGTAACAGCGCTGGCGATTAAAAGAAAACACCGGATTGTTTAATTCAAAGCCTCTTGTGTTTTGGAAAATTTCCAGTCATTTCCAGTCACCGTTTTAACAGGGGGAAAAAGCATTCCTGAATTCTAGAGAGCTCGGCATACCTTTCTAAAAAGGCCTCGAGGATTTGAGCAGCTTTTTAAACGTCTTGAAATAAACTCCCACAAAGATAAAACAGAACACAGGTAGTCCTCCACTTACAAGTTCACTTAGTGACGGTCCAAAGTTACGACGGCACTGAAAAAAGTGACTTTTTCACATTTATGCCTGTGGCAGCATCCCCAAGATCGTTTGATCAAAAATTCAGAAGCTTGGCAACTGACTCATATTTATGACCGTCGCATAGGTTCGCGCAATCCCCTTTTGCGACTTTCTGATAAGCAAAGTCAGTGGGGAAGCCAGATTCACTTAACAACCGGGTTCCTATCTTAACAACCGCAGTGGTTCGCTTAACGACTGCGGTAAGAAAGGTTCGTAAAACGGGGCAGAACTCATTTCCCAAACGTCTCGTTTAGCAACAGGAATTTTGGGCTCAATTGTGGTCGTTAAGTCGAGAGCTACCTGTATTCTATTTCGTCATCAGCAGGTGAATGACATCTGACAGCAGCCCATTTCAAAATACCAGTGATAAAATAACAGTAAACGTGCACATATCTAAAAATCTAATTAAAATAAACCCACTGGGAGATTTTTTTTTTTTTTTTAAAAAGGCTGAACATACAATTGAGCAGAGAAGTAATAAAACAGTTAATTTTTAAAGAAAAAAAATGACAGAGATGACAATTACACACAGAACACCCCATATTTGGCAATTTAACTGCAATTTAGGTTATCTCAGTTTAGCTTATGGATACTGTATGACCATATATGAGTTTGATGCAGGTTTGACATATTAAATAACTGGGGAAAGGGAAGAGGGGGGGCAGTAGATTATGATCACGTCCGATCTCGTAGCTGACATTCTTGGCTAATATTTTCTTTGGTATACAAAAGCACAAACACAACACGCAGAACAAGACGGTTGGGCGCCCCAATCCTGAACTTAATACTGAATTTCTCTGCGAAAAACAAGCCATACCTTATTCGGTGGTTCATTTCCAAAAGACCCCATCCGCCCCCGACGCAGCCCCCTTTTCAGCCCAAGGCGATTTACGCGGTTTCCAATGACACCTCCTCGATGAAAACATAACTTTTGGCTCTGATCCGAGACTACAGAATAACGAAGAGCTGGAAGGTACCTCGGAGGTCTTCTAGTCCAACCCTCCCTTGCTCAGGTGGGAAACCAAACAGAAGATGCAAAGACACATGGGAACTTCTCAAGAAGCAAGGCCTTCAACCACCAGCTCATACCAAACCCCCTCCCTCTTTTTTTAACGATATGCTTGAGCTATATTATCGTTTCAGCCTGACCGACACCTTCTCTGCTCAAATCCCATCCTTTCCCCATGGAAAACCAAAGTTGGCAATAAATTTAAGCCTTGCCCTTTCACTTCCCGATGAGGTCTTCAAGAGAAGCTTGGAGCTTGCGTCCTACCCTTTCTCCAGCTGTAGAGTCTGATGTTATACCACCCCATGCGTGGCCCTGGGCTAAGGAACAGCTGGATGGATTTTTTTTCTCCCCAATGTCAAATCCATTCCAAGCGCCATATTTTAGATTTCTGACCTAGAAGAGCCGATCTTAAAAAAACTTTTGACATCTGGACGATGGGCCTTCGGCAGAGTTGCAGATGTTGCTTTTAAGGTGAAGGATCTTTCAGTTGTTTGCTCCAGAGCTGAAGAAGCTGAAGAAGGAACCCGGTGTGCCCTCATCCGTAAGGCTGGCTTTGGGGTCTCTGAGACAGTCGGCTACAATGTCCTTGGGCTGGCGTAGAAAGAGCACCAGGACGGTGATGTTGTCGGTAGAACCGCTCTCCTTCGCTGCGGCCACCAGCTTCTCCGCGGTCCGAAGGCCGTCTCCGTGGTTTTGCGTCAAGTGCTCCAAGACATGGTCCACCACCTCGACCGGCTGGATGGCATCGAAGAACCCGTCACAGGCGAGGAGGACGTAATCTTCTGTCCCCATCAGCTCAAACGATGCGCCATCCGCGCAGCCGGAGATGTAAGGTTTTTGCAGGAGATCCCCTGTAAATGATTTAAAAAAAGAGGACGAGAAACAGGAGATAAAATACAGGCAGTTCTCGATCAAAATTCAGACGCTTGGCAACGGACTCAGACTTATGACGGGTCGCAGTGTCCCGGAGTCACGTGATCCCCTTTTGCGACCTCTGACGAGCAAAGTCAATGGCGAAGCCAGATTCACTTAACAACCGTGTTACAAGGGCTGCAGTGATTCCCTTAACAACTGTGGCAAGAAAAATCGTAACATGGGGCAAAGCTCACTGATCAGTTGTCCAGTTTAACAACAGAAATGTTGGGCTCAATTGTGGTTGTAAGTCGAGGACTACTTTTATTCATAAAAGGAGGACAGGTTCCACTTCCTTCGGTCCACAGCCAACAGAACAAATTCAGATTTGACTGCAACTTGAGGTAAATTGTCGTTTCCCCTGTTATACACCAAACATCGTTTCTCTTTCTCCTTAATAACTTAATAACTACTAAGACTGTATTACTATTCTTCTTCTCATCCTTACTAGTACCTATCTCTTCCCACTTATGGCTATATCCATGTTGCTTGTATCTTTACAACTCATATTGTTTTTATTGTTTCCTAGAATGATTTGATTGCTTATTAGTATCCTATGACTATCATTAAGTGTTGTACCTTATAATTCTTGTCGAATGTATCTTTTCTTTTATGTACTCCGAGAGCGTATGCACCAAAGACAAATTCCTTGTGTGTCCAATCACACTTGGCCAATAAAGAATTCTATGTTCTGTTCTGTTCTGTTCTGTTCTGTTCTGTTCTGTTGTGTTCTATTCTAATTCTAATTCTAATTCTAATTCTAATTCTATTGATGTCAAGGAAAGAGAAGCAGCAAAAGAAAGAATTCAAAAAGTGAATGGTCTCACAAACCAGATAAGATTTCAAGGAATTTGTCTTTGGTGCATATGCTCTCAGTGTACATAAAAAGAAGAGATACATTCGTTCAGATCACCACAACTGTCGACTGAAGTTGAAGATTGAAGTCCATTTCTGTATCGATTGATTACAAAGCAAGGTGATTGTTAAGAGAGAGTTGTGCCCCATTTTACGCCATTTTGGCCACGGCTGTTATGCAAACCTCTGCCGTTTAGGGAATCAACATGGCTGCTAAGTAATTCTAGCTTCCCCCAAGGACTCTGCTGGTCAGAGCCAGCTGGTATAGGTCGCAAATGGGAATCACGCAACTGTCACAAATACGTAAATATACTCCGGTTGCCAAACTCCCGAATTCTGATCACATGACCTTGTGGTTGCTGAGGTTGTAAGTGTGAGGACCGGTGATAAGTCACTTTTTTCACTCGGTCATTAAATGAATAGTGGTATACTGAGGACTACCTGCATTTGCATTACCTAAGGATCTGAGCGAACAGGAACATTACCTAATAATCTGAGCGTTAGCCTTGAATATTAACGTGGGCTTCTGGGAGCCTATTGAAAATATTAAAAATATCACTGCAGATGCTTTGGGAGCGAACAGCACGAACTTCATTCCTCAATCTGCACTGTGTCAGGTTTGAGTTACTATGGCAATGCGCTGTACGGAGCAGTTTTTAACGTGAGCGCCTCAATGGCAGCCAACATGCCAAGGTTTTCTGAGATGCCAGTGTTTCCGTGAATATTAAAAACAGGCAGCCTTGGAGATGGGGTGGGCTGGGGTAGAGTGGAACAGAAAAGAACAGAATAGAATAGACTATAGAATAGAATAGAATAATGACAGATAATAAGGGTAGAGGAGAGGAGAGGAGAGGAGAGGAGAGGAGAGGAGAGGAGAGTGGTGGAGTGGAGTGGAGTGGAGTGGAATGGAGTGGAGAGGAACAGAACAGAACAAAACAAAACAAAACAGAACAGACTATAGAATAGAATAGAATAATGACAGATAATAAGGGGAGAGGAGAGGAGAGGAGAGGAGAGGAGAGGAGAGGAGAGGAGAGGAGAGGAGAGTGGTGGAGAGGAGAGTGGTGGAGTGGAATGGAGTGGAATAGAACAGAACAGAACAGAACAAAACAGAACAGAACAGACTATAGAATAGAATAGAATAATGACAGAGATAATAAGTATCAGACAGAGTAGAGTAGAGTAGAGTGGTGGAGTGGAGTGGCGTGGCGTGGCGTGGAATGGAATAAAAAAGAACAAAATAGAACAGAACAGAACAGAACAGGAATAGGAAATAGGGGAGGGGAGGGGAGAGAAGAATGACAGAAATAATAATAAGTTAGGATACGATAGGATGGCTTTATTTGGCCCAATGTGATTGGACACACAAAGAATTTAGGATTTAGAAATTAGAATATGTCTGGCTCTTCTATTTGGTAACAATCTCATTCTTTTATCAGTTTCTTGCCCAAAAACACTTCACTTTGCTGTCACAGTTTTTCTCATAGAATTTTTTTTGGTTTTTTTGTTTTGGTAGTTTCTATTTGTGGAGGCTAACAATCTGAAGCAATCCTGCTCGATTGAATAAGGAAAGTTGCCACCAATCTCCCAGTGCCCTGATCAGCTGGCTGTATCATTTGGGCTAATTTTCAGCAATTTTCAGTCCTTGACTGACAAGTTTGGATTCAACTGTGGTCGTTAAGTTGAGGACCACCTGTACAATGTTCTCCAACTGGCTTTAGAAAACACGCTTACCAATTGCTCTGGAAACAGCCAGGGTGCCGTTTACACGCCAACAGTCCATGTATGTTATGCAGCCTCCCAAATCTTCTATGCGTTGTCGTTCATCCTATAAAGGCAAGGAAACACACACATCCCTAAGCCTTTGTTGTGCAACAACGCAACGAAGAAAGGAGAGATTTGGGAAACGCGATGAAGAAAAATCGCATCCCTTTTCGTTTTCATTCAGGCTCCTGAAACCTTCTCATACAGTTCAGGGAAAGCAAGATCTCCTTTAAAACCTTTTTCGAAATATCTATTTCACTTTTTCTTATGGAAATTACTGCTGAACTCACACGCAGATTGCGGTTCATTTTAGCCAAGAGTGGGATTGAAAAATTTTAGCAACTGGTTCTCTGCCTGGTTGATGGGTGGGCGTGGCCATGGGGGCGTGGCCTACTCAGTTTCCTGTACCATGGCGGGGGGGGGGGATGTTTCACCCTCCCCAAGCTCTGGAGGCTTTCCTCGAGCCTCCGAGAGGGCGAAAACAGCCTCAATATGCCCCGACACCCTCCCCGCACTCCCCCCGTTTTTGGCACACGATGGGACAGGAAGGTCCATTTTTCGCCCTCCCCAGGCTCCAGAGCCTTTCTAGGAACCTGGGGAGGGTGAAAATGGCCTTCCCCACCCACCCCCGGAGGTCTAGAAAACCTCCTAGAAAGCCTCTGGAGCCTGGGAAGAGTGAAAAACCGGCCTTCCCCCAGAGGCCGTCTGGAGGCTGGAAACAGCCTGTTTTCCAACTTCCGGTGGGCCCAGAAGGCCCAAAAATCAGCTGGCTGGCGCGCACATGCATGCTGGAGCTGAACTAGGGCAACACTCACATGCCCACCGATATGGCTCCGCGTGCCATAGGTTCGCCATCACGGATATAAGGTCTCCTGCTTGAGCAGGGGGTTGGACTAGAAGACCTCCAAGGTCCCTTCCAAGTGTGTTATTCTTCAATTAAAAAATAAATCAAGTGTTGTGACCTCGACTCCCGAGCATGTCCTAACAGAGGAGGTGATGGGGAGGAACTGACAAGGCCTCTCTCTCCAGGATCCTCCTCTCTGGCAATGCCTCAGGTTCCATCCGAAGGCCAAGAGGAACAGCCTGGGATATGCCAGGAGGAAAGCATATTGAAACAACAACAGATAGGGAGCGAGGATGATGAATCCTGGCTTGATCCCAGGCAGCGTCGGAGGGAGAAGCATGCGCAGCAACGAAAGAGGCGTGGGAGGGCCAGAGATTGAGCTGAGTCACTGAGCCACACCCCACAAGGAATAAAAGTGGGTGGGATTGCTCTTCAGGCTTTGTGACGGTCAAAGTTAAAAACCTGAGAGTCACAACGCATTACCTGAAATCTGGCTTGTGCATATTTGGATTGGACCTTGGCTAACTCTTGCTTCGTGGATTACTTTTTGCTACTGGACCGGACTGAGGATAAACTCTCTCTTGCTGACTGTGAGTGAAAACTGACTTGGCAGGCATTTCGCAGTTTACTGCCAAAACTCTTATCTGCAAGGGTTTCTAGTCTGATTACTTAATAAAATCTTGGCAGGCGTGCCTGGTTGTGTGTTTGCTTGTGTGGGGAAGGGGGACAGAACATCAAGGATACATATAGAAATTCGGTTTTCGGACAATTGGGGGGGGGGGGAATCTTCCAAGTAAGTCAATTACTGTTTTTTATACCAAGGTGAGCCAAAATAAACATAGAGGACAAATTGCAAAGAACTACATTTACCTCTCGTTCTGGTTTGTGAGGTTCCATCAGAGTTATAACTTTTCCTTGCTGGACCAGGATCACTTGTGAGTCCCCCAGCCACGCTATGTGTAGTTTGTCGTCAACCAGGAGACAAGACACCCCTGTCGTGCCACTCCGAAGCTTCTGCAGACAGGTTTCAAAAAAGCAGAAAAAGTTAGTTTGCCCTCACCAAGACTGAAATATAACACATGAGAAAAAGTCACACCTGTTGATTAACCACAGGGCAAAAAGAGATCTTGTATGAATATTCTGCTAAAGGATACAGAATTTATAACAAGCTAGCTAAAGGATACACAATTTATAACAAGCTAGCTGATAAACCTGCGTTGTCCGGGTATTTATTTATCCATCCCAATCCTGTATTAGACAGGAAGAGCAACTTCCCCCTGAGCCCTGATTTCGGCGAGAATTAAATTAGTTAAAAATGTTTTCCCTGCAGGCAATAATGTTTTATTAATCATCAAAGCCTTGTTGAAAATGTCGGAACCAAACGTTGGATGGGGGAAAATCCAACGTCTAATGTTGGATTTTCCCCTTTACCAGAGGGAGCCCCCTTGTGGAGTACTGTGAAACCGTTACCATGGCAACTCCACCATGCTGTACAGTAGAAGCCATTTTAAGGCAGTCCAGTAGAAGCCGTTTTAAGGCACAACAGGCTGTATCTTAACAGAACACAGACCCCGAGGGGTATTAGGAGTGTCTTACCCCCACAGTGTTTTTTTTTTCCAGAGAGAAAGTCATCTGTGTACCAAGTTTGGTTGAAACTGCCATTGCATGCCAAAAGCGGGGGAAGCACGGAGTCGCGCACGCATGCGCAATGGGGCGGAGCACATAGAATTATGGGCCTGGGCACACACACATGCGACCCTCCACATTCCCCACGCTTTTGGCACACGATGGCAAAAAGGTTAGCCATCACTGACCTATATATTCTCTTAAAAGATATGAGATGACACTGAATTGACACCACAGGTTGTGCACCAGCCACCATGTCTTCTCCTCAGTGATTATTAAATAATAACTGCCACTCAGAAATGCACGCACGTACTTCTTTCCTCCCTCTTTCTTCAATTTTTATAACGGACATGCATAATTGTGAGGAAAACCGCATTTTTCCCCCCCCCTTGAGATTTCATTTCAGCCTTTGCACAAGGCCCATTATTATGTATGACAATTTCCCTTCTGAGCTTCCGGTTTTAAAACTGTGCAAACCACGCGGAACTGGAACAAAAACCAAGTGTGTGGGGTTTTTTTTAAAAAAAGAAAGAAAACAAGAAAACAAAGAGATCTTTGTTAGTTGCGCCGAGTTCTGTTTCCAGCTGAATAACCAACCACAGATCGGTGATCGCTAATACCGAAACTGTGACCAAAAAAAACCCCGTATTTTCTGCACACACGAAACCTTTATGTTGGTATATAAAATACTTTACAAAGCACGCTGCAAATCCATTAATGAGCGAAAACTTTTGCAGCGGATCCTGAAGTCTGATCTTTTTCTCGCAACGTGAGGCACAACATTGAGGCTAACCACAGCCAACTGTATTCTAATCCTCTACGGTTAGTCCTCAATTTACGAAAATTGAGAGTAGGATTTCTGCGGTTAAGCAAGACACTATTATTTTTACAAGTAACTCAAAGCTGTGAACGCACCGTCCTCCTCCTATTTTCCCCACAACAAACAACCCTGTGAGGTGGGTTGGGCTGAGAGAGAGAGAGGAACTGGCCCAAAGTCATCCAGCTGGGTTTCATGCCTAAGGTGGCACTAGAACTCCCACACGTTCTCCATCTAAAATCCACTCGGCAAACCGACGTCCGTTTTGGGTTGGTGGCATCTCAACCAATTTAAACCAATTTAAAGCAGGCACAGGTAAGTCCTCGACTTACGACCACAACCGAGCCCAAAATTTCAACTCCAACTAAGCAAGACCTTTGTTAAGTGAACTTTGTTAAGTGAATCTGGCTTTCCCCATTGACTTTGCTCATCAGAAGGTCGCAAGAGAGGATCATGTGACTCTGGGACATTGCAACCGTTATAAGTATGAGTCGGTTGTCAGGCATCTGGATGCAAATCATAGGACCATCGGGATGCTATTAACGGTTGTAACTGTGAAAAAAGGGTCATAAGTCACTTTTTTCCCACTACTGTTCTAACTTTGGTCGCTAAACGAACCGTTGTAAATCAAGGACTACCTGTAAAGAAAGGTCGCTTGTCAAGAGAATATCTTTCTCCAAACTCGCCCCCTAATTTTTATGTCCTCTTTCGTCAACGATCTAATGGCATTTGGTCCCTTCAAACGGGGTGTGTGTGTGTGTGTTTGTGTGTGTGTGTGTGGCCATGGGGGTGGGAGGGAGGCATTTTCATCCTCCCCAGGCTCCAGAGGCTTTCCTTGAGCCTCCAGGAGGGCGAAAACGGCCTCCCCTGGGCATCCGAGGCCCTCTGGAAGCTGGAAACAGGTGTGTTTCTGGACTTCCGATAGGCCCGTTTTTTGCCCCTCCAGAGCCTCCGTGTGCACCCTGCGCTTACCTGGCATCCAAAATGGGCCGGGTAGAGACTCCTGGGAGGGGCAGGGTCAACCAGTCCGGTTCAGCGAACCAGATTAAAATTCACCCAAACCGGTACGAACCGGCTGAATCCCACCTCTGCCTTCAACCCTTCTACCCCGCTCACCTCTCTCCTGGCTCTTGAGAGAAACATGTCATCCGTCTTCTGAAAGGAATCTCTCAGAGCTTCCGCTGGGCTTTCTAGAAGCTTCTTGTGATGCGCCAAGTTGACGTGCAAATGGGCCGCGGCATAATTAGCGGCCTCGATCCCTCCATGACCATCGTAGACGGCAAAATAGGCTCGATCTACGTCATCCTTTCGGTGGCCAGGGTGAGTAAAGACAGAAGAAAAATATAAAACAGGTATGTTGACCCAAGCTTACAAGAAATAGAGAATTGAAATGTGTGTGTCACACACACACACACACACACACACACACACACAGATGTTTTCCAACAACAAAGCCCATCAGAGATAGTTAACTGGGACAAAGAAGGACAGAAGTGGCGAGAGAAGAGAATATCTGTAATTCAGATGAACTGTGAGGTCCTTGGTGCTCTCCGAGCTTGGTTGCTTCCTTGCAGATGTTTCATTACCCAACTAGATAACATTATCAATGGTAGAAGAGAGTGGGAGCTGCGGAGGAGAGGAGGAGGAGGAGAAGGAGGATTGTGGGGTCCCTGATGCTCTCTGAGCTTTTTGTTTTCTTGCAGATGTTGTTCTGTCCCCAACCCCACGCACACACCCCAACAGACGTTCAGGAGTTAAAGACCAAACCAGCCGGCAAAATCCTTTTCCTTATGATAACGGAACTTGGCAACAACCTAGTGGCTGCCTGCCAAGAGTTTATTATTTACAAAGAGGAGAGATAACTTCTCCCCACTTCTGATACATCAAAGGAAAGCAGCTCAATAATTACGAAATTAATCAAGTCCAGAGGTACTCCAGCAAAGTCTTAAAGCAAAAGTCCAGCAATGCAGAATGGCGTGGAAGCTTTCAGCTTTGTTCGTCACAAGGTTTGACTGGCCACCACGCTCCCTTTTATATCCTGTGGGGTGTGGTTCAGTGACTCAGCCTAATCTCGGGCACGCCTTTTCTTCTGTTGCGCGCGCTTATCTCTGCGATGCTGGCGTGGGTCCAGCCAAGACTCATTACCCTCATCACTGTCCATCTGTGGCTGCGTGGACGTGCTTGGCCATGGACCTATCTCTTGCCCTTCGGCGGACACCGAAGGCATTGCCAGAGAGGAGGGTCCTGGAGAGGGAGGCCTTGCCAACTCCTCTCCTTCACTCTCGGAGTCCTCTCCTGACGATGACACAGGCTCCGGTAATGGAGCCACAACAGATGTTTCATTACCCAACTAGGTAACATTATCAGTGGTAGAAGAGAGTGGGGCCTGCGGAGGAGGAGGAGGAGGAGGAGGAGGAGGATTGTGGGGTCCCTGGTGATCTCTGAGCTTGGTTGTTTTCTTGTACATGTTTCATTACTCAACTAGATAACATCATCAGTATTAGAAGGGAGTGAAGTTTGTGGAAGGGTGGAAGGAAGGAAGGGTGGAAAGAAGGAAGGAAGGAAGGAAGATGAGAAAGGAAGGAGGAAGGAAGGAAGGAAGGGAGGAAGGAAGATGAGAAAGGAAGGAGGAAGGAAGGAAGGAGGAAGGGAGGAAGGGAAGGAAGATGAGAAGAAGGAGGAAGGAAGGAAGGAAGGAAGATGAGAAAGGAAGAAGGAAGGAAGGGAGGAAGGAAGGAAGGAGGAAGGGAGGAAGGAGGGAAGGAAGATGAGAAAGGAAGGAGGAAGGAAGGAAGGAAGGAAGGAAGGAAGGAAGGAAGGAAGGAAGGAAGGAAGGATGGACTGTAGGGTCCTTGGTGCTATCTGAGCTTTTCTTGTAGAGATTTCATTACCAAGCTACCATCAATGTACTGATGATGTTACCTAGTTGGATAATGAAACTGCAAGAAAACAACCAAGCTCAAGAGAATATCGAGGAAACTGAACAGTCAGAAGCTGCAATTCCAAAATAGGTTAGCATGATCACGGAGGGCAATTTTTCTATCAGTGTGTCCTCTCTTAGCTTCTTCTAGAAACTCACCTCCAGGCCAAAGAGTTGGTTAAATTCCGGCAGGGAAACATGTCTATCTTCCATCTTCCGTCGAGTATTACGAGTTGCGTGGATCGAAATCTGAAGGTAGCGTTTGGACAGCTTCAAGGCGGGAAGCTCTTTCTGCCATTCGCCACAGATCTCCAAGAGTTTGTTAAAGAAATGGCGGTGCAAAGGAGCGGCTACCAACACTGCGGGTGAATTAAAAAAGAATTCGCTGAAATAAGTATTTGGAAACTTTCACGCCTCACCTGGTTATTGTCAACTCGCAAAGCTTCCCTGGCCTGCTCTCGAGGTCGGGGTGGGAAACTGACGAAGCAGCACGGCAGCCAAAAACAGAAGCACATTCCAGACATAGCTCTCTCAAGGCTGTCTCCCAGGGTTACCTACAGTGGCCAGAGGGGAGTGATCTCTACAACCCACAAAATTGCTCCATTGGCGAATGTGACTGATGACACACCCTGGAGAAAGGGGGGGAACAGGGTCACGATTGGGGCGTAAATTATGTGGGGTCAGAGTTGGCTTCACCTGGAACGTGCTGACATGAAGCCCCTAATAAATAACTGGGTTTCTTTTGAAGCTTGGCTCGTCGGAACCCTGACAGTTATCTTCAACCTGAACTTTACAGGTAACCCTTGACTTACAACCACAACGAAGTCGAACGTTTCTGTTGCTAAGCGAGACATTTCTTAAGAAGTGAATTTTGCCCCATTTTACAACGTTGTTAAGTTAGTAACACGGCGGTTGAGTGAATCTGGCTTCCCCACTGAAGAGCACAAAAGGGGATCCTGGATACTGCGACCGTCATAAATGTGAGTCAGTTGCCAAGCCTCCAAATGTGATGATCTGTCCCCGTCTACACACACACACAAACACAGCCAGCCGAGGGTTAAGAAAGCACTTGGCACACACACAGGTCGTTATCTCAAACTTGGCAGCAATATAAGCACCGTCTGCCAAGAGCTTTTACTGCAACAGATAACATAAAATTACATACGCATTGCAAATAGTCTAGCAAAACAATATCCCTTTCGGCAGCTTCAGACGTTGTTCAAGTGACTAGCCAGAGTTAGTTTTTGTTCGTCACGGGGTTTTACCAGCCACCACCCTCTCTTATATAGTCTCTGGGGTGTGGTCCAGTGACTCAGTTTTAATCCCTAGCACGCCTCCTTAACTGCTGCAACCGTTCATCACGCCTTCGTTGGCGTGCATCCAGGAACGACGGCTCTCCTTCGCTCTCATCCGAGACACCTGGCTCCTGGCTAATCTCCTCTCCCTCGGCCGGCACCTGAGACAGTGCCAGAGGGGAGGGGCCTGGAGAGGGAGGCCTGGCTGACTCCTCTCCCTCATGTTCGGCGCTTTCTTCCTCCGATGAGATAGGCTCAGAGGGCGGGGCCACAACATGTAAATCATGGGAGCATGGGAGATGCTGCAACGGTCTTAAGTGTGAAAAAGCGTCGTAAGTCCCTTTTTCGGTGCCTCTGTAAACTACCAACTGTTGTAAGCTGAGGGCGACCTGTGCAAATGACGATGAACCAATTTTAAATGATTTTTTTTCAATTAATTAGAGATAAACCACCTGGGAGCCAAAATAAGGAGCTTTTTGTAAGAAGAGATTGTGAACCGAAGGAGGGCAAACGCTTACGGGTTTCGCTCTCACCAGCCTCATCCTGGTTCTGTTTTTTAAAATCACTGAGGTCACCCTGCAGAATCCCGCTGACCGCGGCGTGAATTAAGGAGGCTGCAAGAAGAGGAGGGGCACCCCTAAGGAAAAAAGAAAAAAAAAAGATGGGGTGAATGAAAGAGCCATGCAGAGAAAACAGACAAAACAAAAGAGTTTCCAGTAAAGGAGAATATTTGTCTCTCGAGGTTGGAACGAGGGGTGCTTGGTGCTCTCTGCCGTTAGTTGTTTTCTTGAAGAAGTTTTATTACCCAACTAGGTAACATCATCAGTGCTAGAGGGGAGGGAGGTTTGCAGGGAGGAGGAGGAGGAGGAAGTGATGTGGAGAAGGGAAGGAGGGATGGAGGAGGGGGAAGGAGGACGACTGTGGGGTCCTTGATGCTCTCTGAGCTTGGTGGTTTTCTTACAGACATTTTATTACCAAACTAGGTAACATCATCAAGACTAGAGGGGAGGGAGGTTTGCAGGGAGGAGGAGGAAGAGAAGGAGGAGGAAGATTATGAGGTCCCTGGTGTCTCTGAGCTTGTTTCTTGCAGACATTTCATTACCCAACTAGGTAACATCATCAGTGAGAAGGGTTTGCAGAGAGGAGGAGGAGGAGGACTGTGCGGTCCTTGGTGATTTCTGCGCTTGGTTATTTTCTTGCAGACATTTCGTTGCCAAACTAGGTTACATCATCAGTGCTAGTAAGGAGTGGGGGTTTATATAAACTGAGAGCAAACACAAAGGTTGTGGCTCCTATTTATGGGAGACCTTTTAAGTTCCTACAAACTCCACATGAACTCCACAGGTCTTGTCAATTGCAAATCACAACAAAACAAAATAACGTATGAAAAACGGTTGCAGGAACTGGGTGCGTCTACTTTAATGAAAAGAAGGACTAGGGGAGACATGATAGAGTGTTTTAATATCTCAGGGGCTTCCACAAAGAAGAGGGAGTCAAGCTCTTCTCCAAAGCACCTGAGGGCAGGACAAGAAGCAATGGGTGGAAACTCATCAAGGAGAGAAGCAACCTAGAACTAAGGAGGAATTTCCTGATAGTGAGAACAATTAATCATTGGAACAACTTGCCTCCAGAAATTGTGAATGCTCCAACACTGGAAGTTTTTAAAAAGAGGTTGGATAATCATTTGTCTGAAGTGGTGTTCCTGCCTAAGCAGGGGGTTGGACTAGAAGACCTCCAAGGCCCCTTCCAAGCTCTGTTCTATTCTATTCTACTCTTCTAGAGGGCTTCAAACAATCCATTCTGTTTCTAACTTTCTTACAAATCCCAGCTTCGAACGGTTTACCCCTTTCCTCTGCAGTGCAAGGGGGTTATTTTCAGCACCGAGCTAATTCTTGGAATTTCCTGTTATTCTTCTCCCTTTCTCAAAAAAAAAAAATAAAAATAATACAAATTCCTATTCTGCCCTGTAACTGGAAACACTCACTTCCTTTTTCCTTTCAAAATTTCCTACCGGATGTCAGGCCTGTGCAAGGATGCACTCTGCATCTTTTGTCCTGGGGAATATGTAATAACTTTAGGATTTAGAATTCTTTATTGGCCAAGTGTGATTGGACACACAAGGAATTTGCCTTTGGTGCATATGCGCTCAGTGTACATAAAAAGACAAGACACGTTCATCAAGAATCATAAGAATCACACTTAATGATAGTCATAGGGTACAAAGAAGCAATCAAATCATACTAGGAAACAATCAATATAAATCATAAGGATATAGCAACAAGTTACAGTCATGCAGTCATAAGTGGGAGGAGATGGACGATAGGAACGATGAGAAGACTAATAGTAATAGTAATGCAGCCTTAGTGAATAGTTTGACAGTGTTGAGAGAATTATTTGTTTAGCAGAGTGATGGCGTTTGGGAAAAAACTTTTCTTGTGTCTAGTTGTTTTGGCGTGCATTGCTCTATAGTGTCGTTTTGAAGGTAGAAGTAGAAGTAGAAGTAGAAGTAGAAGTAGAAGTAGAAGTAGAAGTAGAAGTAGAAGTAGAATAGAATAGAATAGAATAGAATAGAATAGAATAGAATAGAATAGAATAGAATAGAATTCTTTATTGGCCAAGTGTGATTGGACACACAAGGAATTTGTCTTCAGTGCATACGCTCTCGGAGTACATAAAAGATACATTCGTCAAGAATCATAAGGTACAACACTTAATGATAGTCATAGGGAAACAGCCAATATAAATCTTAATGATACCAGCAACAAGGTTAGTCATACAGTCATAAGTGGAAGGAGATGGAAGAATGATGAGAAGATTAATAGCAATACAGTTTTAGTGAATAGTTTGACAGTGTTGAGGGAATTATTTGTTGAGCAGAGTGATGGCATTTGGGAAAAAACTGTCCTTGTGTCTAGTTGTTCTGATGTGCAGTGCTCTATAGCGTCATTTTGAGGGTAGGAGTTGAAACAGTTTATGTCCAGGATACGAGAGGTCTGTAAATATTTTCACAGCCCTCTTTTTGACTCGTGCAGTATACAGTATATAACTCCTTTGCCAATCACGAGAATCTGGCTCGTGATAAGATAAAATCAAAAATCTGTGATAAGCAACATTTTGCACCCCCGTCAGGCGTCCTATTCAGTGCTGTTTGATTGCACTAAAGGAATCTGATTTGTTCACCGTGGAAACCAAGAAAGAATTCAGTCTTGTCCGTTTAATTTTTATGCCGCAACTCCGGGCAGCGTATATAGATTGTACAAAAAATGGAAAAATAATTAAAAATATATTAAAATGCTAAAACCCTATACAGGTCGTCCTTGAGTTAAAACCGCAATGGAGCCTTAAAAGAGGCAGGACACTTTTTGAAGCGAGTTTTGGCCGTGTTTTTACAACCTTTCTTGCCACCGTTGTAAAACGAATCATTGCCATTGTTCAATTAGTAACACGGTTGTTAAGTGAATCTGGCTTCCTCGTTGACTTGGCTTGGTCAGAAGGTCACAAAAAGGGACCACGTGACCCTGGGACACTCCAACTGTCGTAAATACAGGCAGTCCTCAACTTATGACCACAATGGAGCCCCAAATCTCTGTTGCTAAGAGAGATATTTGTCAAGTGAATTCTGCACCGTTTCATGACCTTTCTTGCCACCGTTGTTAAGTGCGTCACTGCTGTTATTAAGTTCGTAACACGGTTGCTAAGAGAATCTGGCTCCCCCCCCATTGACTTTGCTTGTTAGAAGGGGACACTGCAACCGTCAGCTGCCAAGCCTCCGAATGTAAATCCCACGATCCTGGGGATGCTGCCAACGGTCATAAGTGTGAAAAACGGTCCTAAATCACTTCTTTTTCAGTGATGTTGTAACTTCGAATAGTCACTAAACGAGCTGTCGTAAGTCGAGGACTCTCTGTACATGCCAGTTTGCCAAGCATCCAAATTTTGATCATAGAGCCACCGGGGATGCTGCAACCGTCATAAATGGGGGGTTGGGGGGGAAGGAAGGTAATAAATCACTTTTTTTCATTGCCGTTGTAACTTTGAACGGTCACTAAAGCAAACGGTTGTAAGTCAAGGACTGCATTTTAAAATTTAATTTCCCCCAGACTGCAGAAATATGACATATCCCCTGGCTGTGTTTTTCAAGGCAGGGTTATTTCTCCATTCAAACAGGACAAGAAAATTCCAGGCTTGTTTTGACTTGCTCAAAATGTTTCACATTTCAAGGATAAACCTTGCCAAAATTAGTGTTAGGTGAGATCAGAATTATGCCACCGTCGAAAGTGAGCAGGTAAAGGAGACAATGATTGCCTGGGCTAAAAACTTTGGATATGCAATACTCTGTTTCCCCCAAAATAAGACATCCCCTGATAATAAGCCCAATGGGGCTTTTGAGCGCATGGCAATAAGGCCAAGCGCTTATTTCAGGGTTCAAAAAAAAATATAAGACAGGGTCTTATTTTCGGGGAAACACGGTAGAATTAGATAAACGGCAGAAACCGCGGGAGAGAAATATTAAATTGACTATGTCGACTGCATGTAAAGAAAATGTGTATAAAATGTTTTATAGATGGCATTTTGCATCATCAAGATCGGCAAAAATGTATAAAGATAGATCTGCTAAATGCTGGGAGTATAATCAACCCTCTGGTTCATACTACCATATGTGGTGGACATGCCCAAAAGCTAAAAAATATTGGATGAAATATTTTGGATGTTTGTGGCGTGCCCCCCCCCCCATGGCCCGTTTTTGTGCCTAGGACGCTGAAGTGAGGCCTACTAGGCCCAAAATGGGGCACGGGGGGTTCGTGGCGTGCCCATGGCCCGTTTTTACATCGAGGAGGCTAAGTGAGGCCTATTAGGCCCAAAATGGGGCATGGGGGGTTCGTGGCGTGCCCATGGCGCCGTTTTTACATCGAGGAGGCTGAAGTGAGGCCTATTAGGCCCAAAATGGGGCATGGGGGGTCGTGGCGTGCCCATGGCCCGTTTTTACATCGAGGAGGCTGAAGTGAGGCCTATTAGGCCCAAAATGGGGCATGGGGGGTTCGTGGCGTGCCCATGGCCCGTTTTTACATCGAGGAGGCTGAAGTGAGGCCTATTAGGCCCAAAATGGGGCATGGGGGGTTCGTGGCGTGCCCATGGCCCGTTTTTGCGTCTAGGAGGCTGAAGTGAGGCCTACTAGGCCCAAAACGGGGCACGGGGGAGGGGGTTTGTGTGCACATGTGTGGCGGTTGGGGCCCAAGTTGGGTCGTGCACGCATGCACAGGGGGTGGGGCATATGGGGCGGGCACGCAGATTGCATTATGGGTGCTGGCACACAGGCATGTTGTTGCACGTGCACGCGCACGCTTTTGGCACGCAACAACAAAAAGGTTAGCGGTGTTAGGGTCTCCTGCTTGAGCAGGGGGTTGGACTAGATGACCTACAAGGTCCCTTCCAACTCTGTTGTTTGTTATTATCTGTACCATAAGATCAGCACCCAACTTGCAACATTTAAATAACCCAGAGCACTTTTCACTAAACGTCCACCAGTTGAATTAAAGTCAGCAATGACTCTGGATTTATCAACCTCCAGATTAGCCCTTTGGAGAATTTCTGAGATAAAACTAAAAAGCTATTTAACAGACCTCAAAGCTCTGGCTTAGAAGTATTTATCTAACCATTGTTCTGTTTACTTGCACACTTCCTGACATGAAAGGACGGTTTGAGGGCAGGCCAGTTCAAAAAAAAGAAGATTGCATAAAGCAAAATTACAAAATCTTCCAGGTGCCTCCTGGCCATTGTATCTTCAAGGGGTTAGGAAGTCTTGTAAACAAATGCCCAAAATGTTACAACCATCCATAACAAACATCCATAATTTTGATCAACGGAAAACGAACCACAGAGAGGCTGGGAAGGAAGGAAGATCACAACAACCCCAAAAGGCCATAAAATGAGGTGTGACTCGCTTAACAACCGACTTAACTGTATGTCAAAATGATCGGCCTGGCTGGAATTAATCTGGGTTAGGTGACTTTTCCCTCCTAGGTTATTGCATGAATTGACACCAAAGATTCTGGAAAGGTTTGAACTGAGGAACCAGGTCAGGAATTCAATGCAAAGCTAACACTGATGATGTTATCTAGTTGGGTAATGAAACGTCTGCCAAAAAAAAAAAGTTCAGAGAGCACGAAGGACCTAACAATCCTCTCTTCCTCCACTCCCTTCTAGCATTGATGATGTTACCTAGTTGGGTAATGAAATGTCTGCAAGGAAACAACCAAGCTCAGAGAGCACTCAGGACCCCATAATTCTCCTCCTCCTCCTCCCCCTTCGACTCTGGACACCCCAGTCCCTTTTCACACTGATGATGTTCCATAGTTGGGTCTTGAAAGGTCTGGAAGCAAACAATCTTGCATTGCCTTCCACCCGCTTCTTTGCAAAGAAATCCGGGCCAGCAGAGGAAGGGGGGGGGGCTTTTCCCCACGCGTGTCCCCACGCCAAGCCTCCCTCACTCCCCCCATCCCCACTTAGCCAAAGCCACCCACAAGAAAACGGTCCCCAGGCCCGTTTTGCAAAAAGGGCCCACGCTTGGGATCGGAGAGCCGAACCTGCCACACACACACACCCCACGCGTGTCCATGCAAAACAAAAAAGCAAAACAAAATTGCACCCGCCGTGGCCTTGCAACGCCCGCGTGGAGGAGGGAAAGGCGTGGAATGCATCGCCTTTCACGCGCTTCCTTGCAAAGAAATCCGGGCCAGCGGAAGGGGGGGGGAAAGCCCTTTTTTCCCCACGCGTGTCCCCACGCCAAGCCTCCCTCACTCCCCACCCCCCACTTAGCCAAAGCCACCCGCAAGAAAACGATCCCCAGGCCCGTTTTGCAAAAATAAGGGCCCACGCTTGGGATCGGAAGGCCGAACCTGCCACCCTCCACTCCCACGCGTGTCCATGCAAAAAAAAAAACGAAACAAAATTGCACCCGCCCCCCGTGGGCCTTGCAACGCCGCGCGTAGAGGAGGGAAAGGCGTGGAATGCATCGCCTTTCACGCGCTTCTTGCAAAGAAATCCGGGCCAGCTGGAAGGGGGGGGGAAAAGCCCTTTTTTCCCCACGCGTGTCCCCACGCCAAGCCTCCCTCACTCCCCACCCCCCCACTTAGCCAAAGCCACCCGCAAGAAAACGATCCCGGGGCCCGTTTTGCAAAAAGAAGGGCCCACGCGGGGGCTCGGAAGGCCGAACCTGCCACCCTCCACCCCCACGCGTGTCCATGCAAAAAAAAAACGAAACAAAATTGCACCCGCCCCCCGTGGGCCTTGCAACGCCCGCGTGGAGGAGGGAAAGGCGTGCAAATGCATCGCCTTCCACGCGCTTCTTTGCAAAAAAAAAATAATAATCCGGGCCCCCTTTTCCCCCACGCGTGTCCGGCTCTCACCTTCTGCCCAGGAACCCGCGAGCCCGTTCGCTCAATTCGCCCGCCGCTTCGTCCGGCCGGAGCAAAGCGGTGGTGGAAGCGGTCCAGGGCGGCGGCTCGGCGGGGCTCAAAAGGCCGGGGAAATCGCGCAGGAAGCCGGCCAGCCAAGCCAGCTCCGGCCGAGCCATGGCCGAAAAAAAGAGAGAGCGAGAGGCCGGCTGGAGGCGGTGCCCTGCGGGTGCAAAAACGGCCGCCTTCCCGGGGCTGCCTGGAGAGGAGAGAGCCCGGCTGGCTTCCTTCCTGCACCCCCCCCTCCTTCCCTTCAATGGGGAGGGGGGGGAAAAGGGGGGAAAAGGGGAAGGGGAGGGCAGCCCCCCCCCCCCCCCCCCAGGGGGCAGCTTCCTTGTGCAAAGAAAAGCCAGCCTTTTTTTTTTTTTTTCCCTCTCCCCATCCCCCCCCAATGCAAAACTTTTCCTGTTTGGACTTGGAGGGGGGGAGGGGAAAGGGGGGAGGGGGAGGGGAAAGGGGGGAGGGGGAGGGGGAAACCAGCCGGCTTCCTGGGCGGGTCGTTCAAGGGGAAGGAAAAGCAGCGCAAGCAAGCCCAAGCCGAAGTTTTAGGGGTTTTTTTTATTAGTGGGGTGTGGGGGTCGACAGCGATCGGGGTTCCTGGGGTGGGGGCTGTATGGGCGGGAGTGTCCTTTAATGCAAAAAAAGAAAGAAGAAAGAAAGAAGAGAGAGAGAGAGAGAGAGAGAGAGAGAGAGGAAGAAAGAAAGAAAGAAAAAGAAAGAAAGAAAAGAAGGGAAGGGAGGGGAAGGAAAGAAGGAAAGGAAAGGAAAAAGGAAAGGAAAGGAAAGCATGATTTTTTACTCATCGCATGCAAACCTGTTTTGGGGGGAGAGGAGAGATCAGTGGATTTCTTGGGGGTGTCCTTTAAGGTGATAGATAGGTAGGTAGGTAGGTAGAGAGGCAGGCAGGCAGGCAGGCTGACTGACTGACTGACTGACAATGATAGATAGACAGACAGACAATGATAGAAGACAGACAGACAATGATAGACAAACTCAGACAGACAGACAATGATAGACAAACTGATAGACAATGATAGAAGACAGACAATGATAGACAAACTCAGACAAAGAGAGAGAGAGAGAGAGATAGACGGACAGACAATGATAGACAAACTGATAGACAATGATAGATGACAGACAATGATAGACAGACAGACAATGATAGAAGACAGACAGACAATGATAGACAAACTCAGACAGACAGAGAGAGAGAGAGAGAGAAACGGACGGACAATGATAGACAAACTGATAGACAATGATAGATAGACAGACAATGATAGAAGACAGACAATGATAGACAGACAAAGAGAGAGAGAGAGAGAGAGATAGACAGACAGACAGACAATGATAGAAGACAAACAGACAATGATAGACAAACTCAGACAGACAGACAAAGAGAGAGACAGACAGACAGACAGACAATGATAGACAAACTGATAGACAATGATAGATGACAGACAATGATAGACAGACAGACAATGATAGAAGACAGACAGACAATGATAGACAAACTCAGACAGAGAGAGAGAGAGAAACGGACGGACAATGATAGACAAACTGATAGACAATGATAGATAGATGACAATGATACATAGACAGAAGACAGACAATGATAGATGATAGACAGATAGATAGATAGATGGGGGGGACAAAGATACACTGTGGGGGCACCAGCCCTCTGGAATGAGCTGTCTCTTGAGATTTGTCTCATCCCCGACCTCGCCTTGAAGACCCTCTTGTTCCAACAAGCCGCCCTGGCCTAATACGAATTTTAGAATGGGTGTATGTTTGTTTTCATCTATGGGCCAATTTTTTATATATTCAATTTTAAATTGTTTTAAATTTTGTAAATTTGTATGTGTTTTAATGTGACTGTACACCGCCCTGAGTCCTTCGGGAAAATAAACATAATAATAAACATAAAACACATTTCTCTAACACACACACACACACTAGAGGTGTCCTTTAATGCAAAACATAAAAATAGACGCTGAAAACAACATGGATTGATGAGGGTTTGTGATTCTGTTTTGATGAGTATATGGAGTTTTATAAGGTTTTTTGGGGGGGGGGTGTTGTGCAATGTCCGAAATGCCCCTTAGGAGATTGTGCAATGTAGTGAGCTCTGTGTCTTCCACTAAATGGTAGTGGGTTGATCCTATTATGGCTAATGGCTGTGCTGGATCTTGGGTGAGGGGCTGCTGTGCTAATCCTACCCTTCTGCTTTTTGTTAGCTGTTGTTGTGGCCCGCCAGTGGCCAGCGGATCTGGCAGCAGATTTGGACAATGAGGAGGTTGGGGAGGAACATGGGCCAGTCCTGGAGTCTGGGGAAGGCTCTGATGAGGGCTCTGCATCGGAGGCAGAGAGGGGGCCAGGGCCGTATGACAGTTATCAGCTGCCTTCGGAGTCGGATATCAGTGGGGCAGAAGAACAGCTGAAGCCTGTTCCCAGTGTGAGCTGCCAGGAGAAGGGAACAGCTAAGGAACAAGGGTCGACTCAGGAGTAAAGCCACAGGTGGACGGTGAATGGCTCCTCCCATAGGGAATAAAGAGGAGCAAAGGGGAAAGGAGCTTGCAGGAGACAATTAGTTCATTTGGGCGAAGATCACTTCCTGCATTCTTGCCAAGTATTGCAGCGTCTGAAAGATATCGGCCTGACCACTCTCCAAGCCTGATAAAGGTCAGTAATTGTGAACTATCGTGAAAGATTGTGGGAGAGGAAAGACTTTGCTGGAGAGGAATTCACTGACAATTAAATAAAAGGGGTTTATCGGGACGAGGACTCGGCTTCGTGCTGCTGGGGGAAGCCTAGGTCAGAAGCTGTCAAACTTGGCTGCAAGGAGTTTCGAAACATCCCGTCTTGACTGGATTTCTGCCTGCAGTATTTGCTTTGCTTATGAATAGAGCCACCTAGATAGTTGTCTTCCGCTTTCGATAAGCTCTTTTATCTCCTTAAGTGCTGGCATCCGCTGTGGGCTATTAAGAAAAATTTGGGGGTGGGTGGGGGTTGCTTTCTGCCTTTAAAAACATGTTTCTCCATTAGGGAAATATAATATTCTGTCTCTTTTTTAAAAAAATTCTCAAAATATTTCATTCTTCTGGGGAGGGGGTTTCCCACACAATAAAACCAACCAAAAGAAGCTTTCTCCGGGGGGGGGGGGATTTTATTACGAAAGGCTTTCTGCGCAACGGCGGATCATACAAAATAAGCTGCGAGGGCCGCCATCTTGTCTTTCGGCTTCTTAGGGGGCTGCCTTCCCCCGAGCCGCCGGCCCTTGCCGCCTCTTCCTCGCCCCTGCCGTTTCCCCTGCCCGCCCCGGTGCATGGGGTGTTTCATGGCCGCGTGCTTCAATTCCACCAGGTCTTGGAAGACGGGGTCGCAGAAGACGCAGCCGGTGTGCTGGGTCTCGCCGCCGGGCAGCGGCGACTTGGCCTTGTTAAAATCCACGTCCACCAGGGCGGCGTCGCAGGTGTCGCACGTCTCGGCCGATACCCGCACCTTGTGCGCGTTTTCGAAGAAATGCACCACCACGTTGCATTTGTTGCAGGCCATTTTCCACTTGGGCCCGGAGATGGGGTCCAACACCAGCACCCCACTTTCGCACTCGACGCACTGGCCGATGCCCAACTGGTTCAGCGAATGTTGGCAGTTGGGGTGGGTGCATTCGTTGCAACCCATTCCTGAATTGGTGGGGGGTAAGCAAGAAGAAGAAGCTGGGTTTTAAAATAAATACAGGTAGTCCTCCACTTACGACGGTTCACAGAGTGACCGTTCAAAGTTGCAACGGCGCTGAATGAAGCGACTTAGGACTGGTTTACACAGATACCACCTTTCCAGCATTCCCATGGTCATGTGATCAAACTTCAGATGCTTGGCAACTGGCATGGACTTCTGACAGTTGTAATATTCTGGGGTCATGTAATCGATCCCCTTTTGCGGCCTTCTGATGAGCGGTGACTTAAATTCCCAGAATTCCCTAATATCTTTTAAGATGGGTAGACACAACTCCCAGAATTCCCCAGCCAGCGTACTTTAAGACGGGTCACTTCAACACCCAGAATCCCCAAGGCAGCATGGTTTAAGAGGAGTGACTTAAATTCCCAGAATTCCCAAATATTTTTTAAGATGGTAGACATAACTCCCAGAATTCCCCAGCCAGCATACTTTAAGAGGAGTGACTTAAAACTCCCAGAATTCCCCAGTATCTTTTAAGATGGGTAGACACAATTCCCAGAATTCCCCAGTATCTTTTAAGATGGGTAGACACAATTCCCAGAATTCCTCAGCAAGCATACTTTAAGACGGGTCATTTAAACTCCCAGAATTCCCCAGACAGCATGTTTAAAGATGGATGGACTTCCACTCCCAGAATTCCCCAAGCTTTAAGGTGCATGCACTTCCACTCCCAAAATTCTGGGTGTGGAAGTCCATCCGTCTTCAGTTGGCCAAGGTTGAGAAATGCAAGGCCATATATTTAGAATATATAGTTAGACAGTTAGAACAATTAATCAGTGGAACAACTTGCCTCCAGAAGTTGTGAATGCCCCAACACTGGAAGTTTTTAAGAAGAGGTTGGATAACCATTTGTCTGAAGTGGTGTACGGTTTCCTGCCTAAGCAGGGGGTTGGACTAGAAGACCTCCAAGGTCCCTTCCAACTCTATTATTGTATTGTATTGTATTGTATTGTATTGTATTGTATTGTATTGTATTGTATTGTATTGTATTGTATTGTATTGTATTGTATATACACAGTTTATATCTCCTTCTGCGAAATCTCACCTTTCTTCATATCCCTAAAAGGAGGGTTATTGTAACAATAAGGGCACAGCGGGTAACTTTTCCCCCTGGAACCGGAAGACCACAGCACCAGCTCAAAATCATCCAGAGGGCATCGCAACTCTTTGTACAGTTTGATCGTCCCATTCTGGGGAAGGCTGTAGGTCTCGTCGCAGTGCGAGCAGTGGAGACGGCTTGGTTTGGCCTAAAAAAAAAAAAACAAGAAACAAAAAGACAAAGTTCAAAACTTTTAAGAAAATAAGTTTCTGGAGAAGCCAGTTCCCATCAGATCCTGAAATGGCCATTTCATTTTGATTCCATTTTTAGTTAAAATAAAAAAAGTGCATAAAGGATATTTAGTCTTTTATAAAAAAAACAATTGTAGTTTCCACCTTAACAAACCAATCATTTTTGTTGTTGTTGTTGTTAGTTGAGAAGTTGTGTCCGACCCATCGCAACCCCATGGACAACGTTCCTCCAGGCCTTCCTGTCCTCTACCATCCTCTGGAGTTCATTGAAGCTCACGCCGACTGCTTCAGTGACTCCATCCGGCCACTTCATTCTCTGCCGTCCTCTTCTTCTTTTGCCCTCCATCGTTCCCAGCATTAAGCTCTTCTCCAATGAGTCCTTCCTTCTCATTAGGTGGCCAAAGTATTTGAGTTTCATCTTCAGGATCTGGCCTTCTAAAGAGCAGTCAAGGTTGATCTCCTCTAGGACTGACCGGTTTAATTTAAATTAATTTAATTTAATCTATTTAAATCATTTTACCCATTTCTAAATCAAAAGACTACTTGGACTACATTTTAAAAAAAAATAAAAGGAAGCTTGTTAAGAGTTTGCAGCAATCCAAACAGCACACAAGTAACAAATTCAGCAGGAGTCATGTATAAAAGAAGCTTCTTTCTATACAGTAATATAAAACATGATGCATGTATACAATACCCATGCAGCAGAAGCCAGAACCAGAAATCACAGAAGCACAGAACAACCGAAGCAATAATGCAAGGACAAACCAATTCTATCATACATAACAGTCAAGCTAAGCCACGCCCAGGCGCCAAAATGTCCGAGTCACCAAACCAGCGGTGAAATCCTCTGAATTCTGCTACTGGTTTTGTGCGTCTGCTCCTGAGTGCGCGCTTCACGTGCGCCTGCGTGCCTGAGGCGCGTCCGTGCAGCGCTAAAATAGGAACATTTTGAAGCCTTCCGAGTCTGTAACGGTAAGTAGGTGAGCGAGGGGGGGATGGACCGCTGTGCCACGTAATTTAGATTAGCTAGAAAGCAGGAAATCCGACGATTCTAGCTAATATAAATCACACGTCACGGCTGCTCATCGCCCAGCTGATCGTTGGAAATACTGGTTCGCCCAAACCTGTAGCATTTTTTACTACTGGTTCAGGAGAACCGGTCCAAACCGGTAGCATTTCACCCCTGCACCAAAGAGTCCCCATTGGCTGTTGCTATGTCTATTCCAATTCATGAATTCTTATACACTGACAAAGCTGCCGATAAATACATAAAAAAATCATGCAACCATTAAAAAAAAAATCACATCACAGTTCTTTTCCTTTAGAGTAGGCTTAAATTCCAGATTTTCTTTACCTGGATGTATTTCATAAAACGATGACATTTGCCGCATCGGGAGAGGGGCTTTCCTGTGGCAGCCAGAGGTGAAAAAGACACTTCCATTAACTCATCCATACCTGGAGGGAAGGGAGGGCAAGTGGGACAAAAAGGTCAGTAATTTTGAAAGCGCAGTTCTCTATCACCCTGTCTGTTCAAAAAAAAAAAAGAACGGTATTAAAGAAGGGTGTTTTTTTGTCAAGTAAAAACAATACATATTTAGAGAAAAAGTAAGGAAAAAGTGACAAATAAATAGAAAAGAAATGGAAGGAAGGAAGGAAGGAAGGGGAAGAGGAAGGGAAGGAAATGAAAGGAATGGGAGAAAGAAAGAAAGAAAGAGAAAGAAAGAAAGAAAGATAGATTAAGGAAAAAGTGAGAAATAAATAGAAAAGAAATGGAAAAAAAGGAAGGAAGGAAGACGGAGGTTGGGAGGGGAAAGGGAAGAGCAAGAGGAAGGGAAGGAAATGAAAGAAATGGAAGAAGGACAGACAGACAGACAGACAGAAAGGAAAGAGAAAGAGAGGAAGGAAGGAAGGAAGGCGGGAAAAGAAAGAAGGAAGGAAGGAAAAAAGAAAGAGAGAGAGACAGAAAGACAGAATGAAAAGAGAGAGAGAGAGGAAGGAGGGAAAGAAAGAAAGAAAGAAAGAAAGAAAGAAAGAAAGAAAGAAAGACAGAATGAAAGGGTTCTGATCTACAGCTGTTATACATTTATATTTTATCCACTCTAGATCTATCTGTAGAACCCTGTAATAATAACTCTTTCGTATTCAGAACCAGAAATAAACCACTGAATAGTTCAACAATTCCTAAGAAGCAAAGTTACGATTCAATGGAGGAATATTTCTCCCCAAAACTACCATGTTATGACTGTAAATTCTTCTTTAAAAAAATAAATAAATCTCTATTTTTATTAAATAAAAAGCAACCAACCAAAAAAGGCAAAACAAAGAAAAAAAGGGGGGAGGAAAGAATAAGATTCTTAGGTATCCAGCAGTATAAACCCCTGACTCATACATGTTATTTTTCTTTTAGACTAGACTAGACTAGGAATTACAGAGTTGGAAGGGACCTTGGAGGTCTTCTAGTCCAACCCCCTGCCCAGGCAGGAAACCCTACACCTCTTCAGACAAATGGTTATCCAACATCTTCTTAAAAACTTCCAGTGTTGGAGCATTCACAACTTCTGGAGGCAAGGAGTTCCACTGACTAATTGTTCTCACTGTCAGGAAATTTCTCCTTAGTTCCAAATTGCTTCTCTCCTGGATTAGTTTCCACCCATTGCTTCTTGTCCTGCCTTCAGGTGCTTTGAGAATCGCTTGACTCCCTCTTCTTTGTGGCAGCCCTTGAGATATTGGAACACTGCTATCCTGTCTCCCCTGCACATTTTAACGATTGCACATTCTTGAGACCTACCTGCGATGGAATCCACAAAGTAGTGGAACTTCCTTTTGAAGATGTCCAAGGTGTGCTCCAGAACCTGATGGAAGTTGGCTTTCCCTTGAGAGATTAGGTTGAGCTGCTTCTCCACCGCGCTACGGATGGTCGGGAGCACCAGCTCCGCATCTGAACAGGTAGGAAGAGGCCAAAAAAAAAAAATGAGATCGATGAAAAGTTTACGGGATGTCCAAGAAAAGTCAGCCTGGGAGAAACAGCCAGGATTTGTCCAAAATGCATGGAATCCTCTTATTATTATTTTTTAATTATTTTTAATTTGATTTATATGCCGTCCTTCTCCGGAGACTCAGGGCGGCTTACAATGCATTAAGCAATAGCCTTCATACTTTTGTATATTTATACAAAGTCAGCTTATTGCCCCCACAACTGGGTCCTCAATTTACCTACCTTAGAAAGGATGGAAGGCTGAGTCAACCTTGAGCCTGGCGAGATTCGATCTTACTTTAATTGCAGACAGCTGGTGTTAAATTACAGAGCTCTGTCTGTTGAGCTATCCAGGCTCTTTCTTTAGATCTCTGTTTTGCAAACTCAGCAATTTTAAGAGTTGTAGACTCCGCACCCCCAGAATTCCCCAACCAGGGGGAAATGGGGAATTCTTTTTTTAAAAAAGTTTTTTTTTTTATTTGTTATAAAAATGTCAAATCAATGCGTGCCATACATTCCAATACAAACAAATCTGATCAGATTAAACATGATTATTACATTCAATCAACTTATGAAATTCCCATAACAATACACATCTAGTATATTAGGTTACAGTCTATCATTATTCAGTTATTCCATCTATTTCTCATTATTACTTTCATTTTATCAAATAAAATTGTAATACGTTAATATTCCCTTTATTTCTATCCCTTATTCTAGCTTTTAATCATACCACCCTATATGAAAAAGCCTTTTCTTTCTTTCCTGTCTAACTTCTAATCAAGTCACCTGCATACAAAAAGAGAGAAAAAAAGAAAAAGAATAGAGAAGGAGAGACAGGGAAAGACAATTCAAAACAGCAACTGAGAAAAGGAATCTTCCATCCATCATCTCTTGCCTGCTTTATATTTTAATTATTATTTTAATTATTTATATTTTAATTGCTATACTTTAAAAGGAAGAGGGGTAGAAGGAAAAGCAAGTCAAAATAACAATAAAGAAAGGGGGGGAAAATCATCTACCCATCGTCTCTTGCCCACTTTAATACTTCAATTGCTATGCTTTTTTTTTTTTTTTTAACTTGCCTCGGGAATGGGGAATTCTGAATTCCCCAACCATGGGGAATTCTGGGAGTTGACATCCACACGTCTCAAAGCATGCTGGCTAGGGAATTCTGGGAGTTGAAGTCCACCAATCTTAAAACATGAAGACTAGAGAATTCTGGGAGTTGAAGTCTACCAGTCTCAAAGCATGCTGACTAGGGAATTCTAGAAGTTGAAGTCCATCCGTCTTAAAACATCCTGGCTGGAGAATTCTGGGACTTGACCACTTCTCTTCAATTGCCAAGAAAAATAGAGGAACTTCTCCATGTGAGTTAAGAGGGGGGTCCTTCAAATAACCTGGCTACAAGACGCAAATTTACTCCTTCAATTTCCCTAGCGTTGTCCTCCCCCACCGCAAAATGCCACATTACCTATTTTGTAGTAGCCGTGTACCAAAACTATGCCCAGGTTGGTAGGTTTCAGTCTGCGGCCGCCTTCCACAGTGACGTAGTTGCGTTGGCAGATGTTGTTGATATGGACTGGAATGCTGGCATCCGTTCCTAACAATAATACAGTATTATCTTCTTTATCTATCTTTATCTTTTATTAGATTTATATACCGCCCTTCTCCTTTCGGACTTAGGGCGGTGAACAGCCAAAATAAAAACATTTGTACACAAAAGTTAAAATAATTTTAAAAATAATTAAATGAAATTTGGCCCATAATTTAAAACATTTCAACTAAAAATCAGTATCGAACTTTAAAACCAACATAGAATCAGGCCAGCCCGGCTAACTGAAAAAAGTAAGTTTTAAGGGCCGGATGAAAAGTCTGGAGGTCTGGGATCACTCGTATCTCTGGGGGTAGATCGTTCCAGAGGGTTTTATTATCATGTATTAATTACATGAAGTGTTGATACCACTTTATAATGCCTTGGTAAGGCCACACTTGGAATCCTGCATCCAGTTTTGGTCGCCACGATGTTAAAAAAGATGTGGAGACTCTAGAAAGAGTGCAGAGAAGAGCAACAAAGATGATGAGGGGACTGGAGGCTAAAACATATGAAGGACAGTTGCAGGAACTGGGCCTGGCTAGTTTGATGAAAAGAAGGACCAGGGGAGACATAATAGCAGTCTTCCAATATCTCAGGGGCTGCCCCAAAGAAGAGGGAGTCAAGCTCTTCTCCAAAGCACCTGAGGGCAGGACAAGAAGCAATGGGTGGAAACTAATCAAGGAGAGAAGCAACCTAGAACTAAGGAGGTCAACCTTACCATCGCCACCTCCTCATACTCCCTAAACCTTAGAAGAAACGTGAGATGACCATTGTCTGAAGAAAGATCCTTTCCACCACCAACTTATGCTAAGCATGCCACCAAAAAGGACCATTTCCTACCTATCCCATGTTTTTCCATCAACGTGATGAGTTCAGCTTCCGTCAAATAATCGGGCGGGCAGGTCTGCTTCTCCAGGAGCTTCACTTCGCTCACAGGGAAGAGGTCTCCTCGATCACAGCTGGGGAGGCTCTCTTCCAACGGGATGCTTTGCCACGGCATAACTTCAGTAAACCCTGTAAGGGATTTTTTTAAAAAAAGAAAAAAAAACAAGTGGTGATTCTGCATTAATTTTAGCTAATTTTTAAAAAAGAGTTAAGTAATACTTTTCATAATTTTTATATTTCAAGGTTTATAAAGGAAGGAAGGAAGGAAATGAAGAAAAAAACAAAGAAATGAAAAGGGAAGGAGAAAAGGATAAAAAGAAAGAAAGACAGAAAGAAAGAAAAGGAGAGAGAGAGAGAGAGACATACAGACAGGAAAGGAAAGGAAAGGAAAGGAAAGGAAAGGAAAGGAAAGGAAAGGAAAGGAAAGAAAGGAAAGGAAAGGAAAGGAAAGGAAAGGAAAGGAGACAGAGAGAGAAAGAAAGAGACAGGAAAGGAAGAAAGGAAGAAAGGAAAGGAAAGGAAGAAAGGAAAGGAAAGGAAAAGGAAAGGAGAGAGAGGGAAAAAAGAGACATACAGACAGGAAAGGAAGAAAGGAAGAAAGGAAAGGAAAGGAAAAGGAAAGGAGAGAGAGGAAAGAAAGAGACGTACAGACAGGAAAGGAAGAAAGGAAAGGAAAGGAAAGGAAAGGGAGAGAGAGAGAAAGAAAGAAAAAGAAAGAAAGAAAGAAAAAGAAGCAAAAGTACAACAAGAAAAAAAAAAATCTGTCCCAAGACCGTGTCTTAACCTCTTTCCTACCTGGCGAAAGAACTGTCTTTCCTATGCAGGTGAAACGTTCCGAGGCAACACTGCACGCAATAGTAGTTTGAAGGTATTTGCAGTCAGCACTGATAGTGGCGATAAAGTGCCTTGTAATGTATTCGTAGAGCCTCCATCCATCACCCCCTGGAAATACACAAGGGTGCTGCTGTTATAACTTTGACCAGTTGCTAAATGGATGGCCTGTCCGTCCAAGACAGTTTGTAATGTTTCTGGAATGTTTTTATTGTGGCCTGACGGCTGACGGCCCCTCCAGCAGCCAACTCAGAGGAGGAGATGGCGTGGGACTCAAGGCCAGCATCAAGGCAACCTGAGAGCTCCGAGGGGGAAGACGGAATGGAGCTGGCAGAGCGAGAGAGAGAGAGAGACGGAGCCTGGGCCATCCGTCAGCCCTCAGATGGAGAGTCAACAGCCCCCAGGTCTGGAGGTGGCTGATGAGGAAGAGGAGGAACAGCTGGGTCCAGTGCCTGATGCGCAGATGCTCAGAAGGCAGAGGAGAGGAGAACAGTGGAAATCTATGGGCTGGTCCTCGGGACGGAAGAGCCACTGCTGCTAGCGAAGCCCCACCCTAGCTCTGGGGATAAAAGGCAGGGGGCGGAGATGAATAGATGTGGCAGACAACTATTCATCTCGCTGCCGGACGGACTCGTTAGCTTGCGAGAGAAATTTTTTTGCCGGGGATTTCTAATTAAAGGACTCTTTTGAGTTCACGTCAGAGGGCTTGTCGTGTTTGGGAAGCTGGGTTCGGAACAAGTTTTGCAAACATGAATAATCGCTCACCTAATTCTGCTTCAGAGGCCGCTCTCATTGGGGTGATGGGAGGGTGATCTCCAGCATCGTGGCCTTTCCGTGGCCTGTTGATGCCTTCCACCAATAATGTTTTGACCTTGGGAGAAAACCACCGACAGAGCATACATGAGCCAAGGGCCGGCCACCTCTGGCCGAACCAAAGATTGATTGGAGCAGACTAAAGTTAGCTACAGGTAATCAACGCCTTACGGACAACAACTGAGCCCAAAATTTCTGTTGTTAAACAAGACAGTTGTTAAGTGAGCTCTGCCCCGTTTTCTTGTCACAGTTGTGAAAAGAATCACGGTGTTGTGGCCCGCCAGGGGCCAGTGGAGCTGGCAGCAGAGTTGGACAGTGAGGAGGTTGGGGAGGAACTTGGGCCAGTCCTGGGGGCTGGGGAAAGCTTGGACGAGGGCTCTGCATCGGAGGCAGAGAGGGGACCAAGGCCATCTGATAGTTATGTGCTGCCTCCGGAGCCTCCGGAGTCTGACATCAGCGAGGCAGAAGAACAGCGGGAGCCTGTTCCCAGTGTGTGTACGCACAGAGCTGCCAGAAGACAAGAACAATTAAGAAAACAGGGTCGATTTGGGAGTAAGGCTTGGAGATGATTGGCCCCTCCCATAAGACATAAAAGAGGAGCGACCGGGACGTGAGCTTTTGCAGGAAGCAATTAATTCATCTGGTCAGTTCAAGCTTTGAAAAGTTCTATTTGACTCTGTGCTAAGTTTGGCCTTGCCCTGCATGTGGCAATTAGTTCTCTGGCAACATTCCAAGGGAGATAAAGTGGGTGTTTATAAACATTCCCCTGAAAGACTGTTTGTGAAGCCTTTTGGACTGGGAATGACAATAATTCACAGCCGTGAAAATAAAAAAGGTTTTGCCAGGACTATGTGGACACTGCAGACAGCTTAAATTTGAGCCAACATGTGACCACAGAGGGGTGAAAATCAGAACTTTGAATGTGGATTACATATAGTTCTGACTTAGGCTTCCCCCAAAAAGTGTGAAGCAGAATCCTGGTTCAGACAAAACCCCTTTTATAAAACAAATGTGAATTCCTCTCATTCACTTTCAGCAGAGGCCTGGCAAACAGTCTTTCAAAGGTGTATTTATGACCACAGACCTTATCTGGCTTGGAAAGATGCCATGTAAATATTTTCCAAAGGCAGTGCTGTGCAAGAAAAGACTTGGCACAGAGTCTCTGAGAGTCACAGACAGATCTTTACACTCCTGAACCAAAGGAACAAACAAACCAATTGTTTCCTGCAAAAGCCCACTGTTCTGTCCCCGTCTCACACACGCACACAAACAGACAGCCGGGGGTTAAATAAACTGGCAGACAACCAATTCTTTCGATAAGAGGATTGGCAGCAACCCAGTAGCTGCTTGCCAAGAACTTTACTCATAAACAAGATACACACAGTTCAAGAATTGTCAAATCCAGTCCGTAATTAAATCCAAGGCAGATAATGTTGTTTCCAAAGATGCAATGTGACTCGATAGTAGTTAATTTTGTCCGTCACAGAGTCTGAATGGCCACCTCACCCCCTTATATCCCCTGTGGGGTGTGGTCGTGACTCAGCTTAATCTCTGGCACACCTCCTTTTCTGTTGCGTGTGCTTGTCTCTCCGATGCTGGCGTGGATCCAGCCAAGACTTATCTCCTTCACTGTCCGACTATGAGGAGATATCTAGCTCCTGGCCAATCTCTTCTCCTACGGGAGACACCTGAGGCATTGCCAGAGAGGAGGGTCCTGTAGAGGGAGGCCTGGCCAACTCCTCTCCTTCATGTTTGGAGCCTTCTCCCTCCGATAAGTTGGCCTCGGGGGTCGGAGCCACAACACCCACTCCCTTTTTGTCCTCTTTTATTTCCTATGGAAGGGCCCATTCATCGTCCACCTGTGGCTTTATTCCCAAGTCGACCCTGATTTCTTAGCTGTACTTTTCTATTGGCAGCTCTGCGCATGTGCACAACTGGGAACAGGCTCCAGCTGTCTCTCTGCCTCACTACTGTTTAGCTCTGGAGGCAGCTGATAACTGCCGCTGGCTACTG